AATGGAGAGCTGTGCGTGGCCCAGAGGTGGGCGTCCACATCCAGGCTGCAAACGCACAGGGACCACCTGGGCCTGCCGAGGTTCGCTCTATCCTGGCTTGGCCTGCATGGCTCCTCACTGGTGGTGCCGTCTGCATGGTCCACTCGTCCAGGTCAGGGCTGGGTCCCAGCCCAGGCATGCAGGGGTTGTGCAGTGACGTTGGGCAGAGGGAAGCTGCTCAGGTCCAAGTAAGCAGAGAAACTGCATGCCCAGGCAGCTAAGACCTTGAACTGCAGGAGCCTGAAGCTGCTGTGGCTGTTTTATTGTTTTGTTTTGAGAGAGTCTTGCTCTGTTACCCAGGCTGGAGTACAGTGGCATGATGTCAGCTCACTGCAACCTTTGCCTCCCTGGCTCAAGTCATTCTCCTGCCTCAGCATCCCCAGTAGCTGGGATTACGGGCCCCTGCTACCACACCCGCATTTTTTTTTTTTTTTTTTTGAGATGGAGTTTTGCCATGTTGGCCAGGCTGGTCTCAAACTGCTGAGCTAAGGTGAACCACCCGGGGTTGGCCTCCCAAAAGTGCTGGGATTACAGGTGTGAGCCACAACACCTGACTTGTTTTACTGTTTATAGTGCGGTTCTGTTACTGCTAAGACAGATACTTACACAGCCCGATTCGAAGACTGTGCAGAGAGGATATCTCAGGGCACACTGCAGTCAAGGAAGGCTCCGTGGAGGAGGTGGCCTGGAGCTTGGGCTCATGGGTGAATTCAAGTTTGTCCAGCTGGGTCAGGGAGACATTTCTGGCCACAGGACCTCATGTGCTCATGCTGAGTGTCTCCAGGGCACCCGGTGTACAGGGAGAGCTGAGGGGTAGGCCTCAGGCTCCAGGCCAAAATTGGGAGAAGAGAGTGTCAGACCTGGGCCTGGGGGATGGCTCTGATGTCATCATCATGGGGGATGGTTGAAGAAACGGTGGATTGTGGCTCACCCATCTGGCCCTCGCCCATGTGGAGTGCCCGCCATGGTGGGCCCCGCTGCAGGTGCTGGGCACACAACAGTAATGTGGAGGTCCTGCTCAGCCTGGGCGCATTTTCCAGAACAATTGGAGGGTCGATGCCCTGGCATGATCTGTGCTCTGTGCCGGGGTAGTTCTCAGGGAGGGAGGAAGCCCAGGCCATGGCTGTGGGTAGACCTGTGGCTTGTTGACATGGTACCCAGCTGCCCCACCTCCCAAGCTGTGAGAAGCCTAGGACCAGCCAGGTCCTCCATCCAGATGGTCTCTGACATTGCCCTGGGGGTTAGGGAGGGGAGTGAGGGATGTTCTTCTAACCGAATGGCCTGGGCCACCTGGAGCCCTTCTGGTCCACTGCCTCCCAAGCCAGCACATCTCATCAGTTGCGCACTTAAAACTGTTAGAAAGTTACTCCTTTGACTAAGTTGGAAATGCTCTCTGTGGTCTTGTGGATCTGCCTCCAGTTCCCCAGGACATTTAGTTTTTGGAGGCTTTGTGAAGAGGCTGGGGGTTTGTCAGCCCCACTTGGAAGCGAACATGATGGTTCCCCACCCTGGTCCCAGCTTTTCCTGTGGGCAGCTGGCCTGAGAGTCAAGCCACTCCCCAGGTCATGGCACGGGGCGGGCAGGACACTTTACTGCCTGGCAGGGGGCAGAGCCTTCCCCAGGACCCTGAGTGTCTGTCCTGAGCGGGGACTAGAAGTTGACCTCTCGACCCCAGGCAAGCCCACCCAGCCCCTCCCCTCACACCCTGCCCCACCTGTACTGAGCTTCACCTTTTGCCTCCAGCCTAAATGACTGGAAGAGTCTATTAGGGAGGGCCTCTCTGTCACTCTAAAGAACAGGAACAGGACGTTCCTGCCCCGGGGCACGGAGGTCTGCAAGTAGGACCCTGCAGTGGTTGGCCAAGCTCAGGCCACATGAGCTGGGACTGGCAGGCAGCTCCTGGCTGCCTCAGATCTGGGGTGTGGACCCTTTGCTGGCCACCTGGAGCCTGGCGTGTCTTTGCACACTCTGTTCTTGTCCCCTCCCCCCAGGGCGTGCCCCCTCCAAGGGTGTGCCTGGGACCTTAGGTGGTCTTACCTGTGAGTCATACCTTCTTCTTGGCCAGGGGCTGTGGACAGCAGGATGTTCACCCTGTGGTGAGTGGCTGGGCCTTTCTCAGGAAGCAGCTTAATTGAGATGTCATCTGCGTAGCTGTGCAGCCATCTCCACAGTCCATCTAGGAACACTTTCATCACCTCTGAGGAGATCGTGCCCCGTAGCCATCCCCTCCCAGTCCCAACCTTCGGCAGTTGCTGCCTGCATTCTGTCTCTAGAACTGTGGCATTGCAGGGAGATGGGATCAGTGGCAAGTGGTCTCTGGTGCCTGGCATCTTTCGCTGAGCATGAGGTTTTCAAGGTTCGTTCACATTGGACCATGAGCTGACACTCCATTTGTTACTGATGAATCATATGGTCTACTGTGCAGATAGACCACATTATCTGTTCATCAGCTGATAGAATATTTGAGTTGCTTCCGTTTGGGGCTGTTACACATAGTGCTTCTCTGAACCTTCATGTACAAGCTCATGTGTGGAAATGCATTTTCGTTTCTCTCGGGTATACACCCATAGGAGGAAGTGCTGGGTCACGTGGTAATTTAATGTTGAGCTTCATGAGGAGCTGCCTGTTCTCCCAGTTTCTCCCCATCCTCCCCAACACGTGCCACTGTCTGCATTTCCATCATGACCATCCCAGGGGCTGCAGGCACTGCTGGGTTATAGGGTCCGTGCAACTCCTGAGATTCACATGCAAGGTGTGAAGTGGGTGTTGCATGGGTTTTGGGTGGAGGGACTGTGGCCCCTGCGTGAGGTTAGGAACATATTTCCCAGTCTAGGCACAGCTATTCGGGATTTGCCTCTAGACACCCAAGAGGGAGCAGTTGTGTCTAGAGGAGCAGCACGCTGCCACATTTCACCGGGTCTGCCTGTGCCAGCCGGAAGTGCCCCCATGCCACCATCTCCTCCTGCAAGGGCTTCCCTGTTTGTTGAGCCTGCATTATTGATGAGCCGCCGTTCTTGTGTATACACACCCAAGAGGCTGTCACCACAGTCAAGGCAGTGAACAGACCCTTTGCCCCCAGATCCCAGGCCCCTGTATAGCCCACCTCACCCCTCCCACTGCAAACCCAATCCCAGGCAGCTACTGATCCTTCTGTGTTTCCTGTCATGTGGATTCATCCACATTTTTAGAATTTCTCTAAGTAGAATCACACAGTATCTAGCCTTTCTTGTCTGGCTTGTCGTAATTATTTTGAGATTTATCCACGTTGCTATGATATCAATGGTTCATTCCTTTAAAATCATATTTCTTTATCCGTCCAGATGTTGATGGGCATTTGGGTGGTTTCCAGCTTGAGGTTATTGCAAATAAAGTTTACAGTGAATGTTCACATGCAAACTTTGCATGACATTTATGTCCTTTTCTCTTGGCTGAATCGGAGTGGAACTGCTTGATTGTATGGTCAGTGTATGTTTAACTTTTCAAGTTGCCAAGCTGTTTTCCAAAGTGGTTGCACCATTTTTCATTCCTATCAGCAGTATAGGAGACATCTACTTTCTCCACACTGTCACCAGTACTTGACATGATGAGTCTTTTTAATTTCAGTCATTCTAAGTGGAGACTAATGGCATCTCATTGCAGTTTTAATTTGCATTTTCCTAATGACTAGTGACATTGAGCATCTGTTCCTGTGCCTACCTGCTGTGCTTCAGTGAAGTGCCTGTTCACATCTTTTGCTAATTATTTATTGGGTTATATGATTTCTTAATGAGATTTGAGATTTATTCATATACTCCAGATGCAAATCCTTTATTAAATATATACATTGCCAGTGTTCTTTCCTCATGTATGACATGTCTTTTCATTCTCTTAACAATGTCTTTTGAAGAGCAGACATTTTTAATTCTGATTAAGTCTAACTTACCAGTCTTTTCTTTTATTGAGTGTGCTTTTGGTGTTGTATCTAAAAAATCTTTACCTAACCCAAGGTCACAAAGACTGCCTTCATTTTTTCTGCTAGTAGTTTTCTGGTTTTAAATTTACATTTATGTTCATGATCCATTTTGAGTTTTTTTTTTTTTTTGTATATGGCACAAGGTCTGGATTGACTATTTATTTATTTATTTTGCATATGAAAGTCCAGTTACTACAGCATCAAGATTACCCTTCTTCACTGAATGGCCGCCTGCATCTTTGTCAAAAGTTCATTGTCCACATATGTGTGAGCCTATGACAACTGCCTTTTATCTTCTATATTAATACCATGTTGTTTTCATTACTGTTTTGAAGTCGAAACAGTAATGTGTTAGCCTTCCAATTTTGTTCTTTTTCAAAGTTGTTTTGAATATTCTAGGTTCTTTGCATTTCCATATGAATTATGGACTCAGCTTTTTTATTTCTACCAAGAACAACAACAACAACAACAACAACAACAAAAACAACGCACAAAAAAAAAAAAAAAGCCTGCTAGGATTTTGATTGGAATTACGCTGACTCTATAGATCATTTTGGGAAGAATTGACATCTCAACAATATGGAAACTTCTGTCTATGAACAATTTCTCTCAGCAGTGTGTTCTCATTTTCAGTGTGCAGGTGTCAGAGGCATTTGAACCAGAGTGACTCCATCTTGAGTAGGGACTGGGTAAAATAAGGCTAAGACCTACCGGGCTGCATTCCCAGGAGATTAGGTGTTCTTAGTCACAAGGTGAGATAGGAGGTCAGTAAAAGATGCAAATCACAAAGACTTTGCTGATAAAACAGGTTGCAGTAAAGAAGCTGGCCCAAAACCCACCAAAACCAAGACAGCCATGAAAGTGACCTCTTGTCATCCTCACTGCTCATTATACTGTAATTGTAATGCACTGGCATATGAAAAGACACTCCCACCAGTGCCATGACATTTTACAAATGCCATGGCAACGTCAGGAAGTTACCCTATATGATCTAAAAGGGGGAAGAACACTCAGTTCTGGGAATTGCCTACCCCTTTCCTGGAAAACTCATCAATGATCCACCCCTTGATTAGCATATAATCAAGAAATAACTATAAGTCTTAGTTGAGCAACCCCCGTCCCTGCTCTGCCTAAGGAGTAGCCATTCTTCTGTTTCTTTACTTTCCTAATAAACTTGCTTTCACTTCACTGTATGAACTTGCCTTGAATTCTTCTTGTGCAAGATCTAAGAACCCTCTCTTGGGGTCTGGGTTGAGACCCTTCCCAATAACATAGGTATTTCACACCTTTTTCAGATTTATGCCAAGCATTTTAGGTTTTGACATTACTGTAAAAGGGTTTTTTCATGTTTAATTTCTGTTGCTACTATATAAAAACAATTCATTTGCATATTGGTCTTTTTATTTTGCAACTTGGCTAAACTCATGTTAGTGCTAGTAGCTGAGTACACTTGCACTTCCACTTATTCACACTGGATGCTTGTGAAGTTTCTTGTTCTTGTGTTATTTCACTAGCTAGAACCTCTAGGATGATGTTGAATACAAGCTGTGAGAGTGAACATTCTCGTCCTATTTCAGATCTGAGGGAGAAGCATCCAATCTTTAGCCATTAAGTGTGGTATTCTCTGTACGTTGTTCATAGATACCCTTTCTCAGACTGAGGAAGTTCTCTTCTAATCCTAGTTTGCTGAGAATTTTTTTTTTTTTTTTTTTTTTGGAATGCCAGTTGGGTTTGATCGGATGTTGAGTTGATCATATGCTTTTCCTTTTGTACTTTGTTAATACGTGGAATTACTTTGATTTTCTAGGGTTAAACCAACCTTATATTCTTAGGATAAACCCCACTTAGTCATAAAACATTATCTTTTTTGTATGTTATTGGATGTGAATTGCTAACCATTTTGTTTTGAATTTTTGCATAAATATTCCTTAGCGTTGTTCCATAATTTTGAGGGGCATATTATAATGTCTTCTGATTTGTGTATCATAGTAACGCTAGTCTCACAGAGTGAGTTGGAAAGCATTCCTCCTCTTCAGTTTTCTTAAACAGTTCATATAGAATTCTTGATCAAAATAAACTGAAAAAAAGAGTTGATGTAGAATTGGTATTATTTGTTTTTTAAATGGTTGATCCAATTCATCAGTAAACCCATTGAACCTTAAGGTTTTCTTCATGAGAAGGTTTTAACTACACATCAGTGTCTTCTGATAGACATAGCATTATTCACATTATCCTTTTCTTTGCCGGTAAGCTTTCATAGTTTGTGTCTTCAGAAATTTGTCCATTTTATCTGTTTTCAAAGGTCTTGGCATCAAGCTGTTCATCATTTCTCTTACTGTCCTTTTAACATCTGTAGGATCTGTAGTGCTATCACCCCTCTTGTTCTTGATTTAGTAATTTGTCTCTTCTCTTTTATTCCAGGTCAGTCTCGCTAGAAATAGCTTTTGGTTTTATTATTTCTACTGCCTTTTTGTTTTATTTCACCAATTGTTGCTTTCATCTTTATTTTCTTTATTCTGCTTAATTTGCCCTTCTTATTTTAGATCCTTAAGGTCGGAGCTAAAGTCTCTGATTTGAGACCTGTATTCTTTTCTAATGTGGACATTCAGTGCTAGTTTCCACTCTAGTGGCATCTCACAAATTCTGATATTTTGTTTTTATCTTCATTCAGTTCAGATTACTGATCTCCCTTTTGATTTCTTCTTTGACCTATGGGTTATTTAGAAGTGTGTTAGTTTCCACATATTTTGAAAATCTCCCAATGCCATTCTGTTATTAATTTCTTATTTAATTTTATTGTAATCAGAGAACATTCTCAGAACAGTCTGACTCCTTTTACTTTTTTTTTTTTTTTTTTTTTTTTTGAGACAGAGTCTTGTTCTGTCACCTAGGCTGAAATGTAGTGGCATGATCTTGGCTCACTGCAACCTCTGCCTTCTGGGTTCAAGTGATTCTCCTTCCTCCTGCATCAGCCTCCCAAGTAGCTGGGATTACAGGTACATGCCACCACGCCTGGCTAATTTTTGTATTTTTAGTAGAAATGGGGCTTCACCAGGCCAGGCTGGTCTCAAACTCCTGACCAGGTGATTCACCTACCTCAGCCTCTTAAACTGCTAGTATTACAGGTGCGAGCCACTGAGTCTGGTCACATTTCTTGAAATTTGTTTTAAGGTTCATCCAGAATGCTGTTTGTCTTGGTAAATGTTGTATGTGTACTTGAAATCTATGTGTATGCTGTTTCCTGCTGGAATGTGCTATTGATGTCAAGTAGGTGACATTTTTAATAAAGTTTTCAAAGCTTCTATGTCCTTGCCAATTTTCTGTCTTCCTGTTCTATCAATTATTGATAGAAGAATATCAACATCTCTGTCTGGAATTAGATTTCTCTGTTCTTTCTTGCATTCCAATCAGTTTTTGTTTCATATATAGATGGACCCTTTTTATCATTATGAAATGACCTGTATTGCTAGTAATATTCTTCTTTGCTCTGAAATCTACTTTTTCTGATACAGAGTTGCACTGTCAATGAGCAACCTTGGAGATATCACGGATTTGGTGCCAGACCACTGTGAATAAGCCAATATCATGGTAAAGCGAGTCCCATGAATTTTGTTTCCCAGTGCATATAAAAGTTATGTTTATCCTATACTGTAATCTATCAAGTGTACAATAGCTTTATGTCTTTTAAAAATGTACATGTCCTGATTTAAAAATACTTTATTGCTAAAAAATGTTCATGATCACCTGAGCCTTTAGCGAGTCATCATCTCTTTACTGGTGGAGGGTCTTGCTTTCATGGTGATGGCTGCCAACTGATCAGAGTGGTGGTTGCTGAAGGTAGGGTGGTTGCGACAGTTTCTTAAAAATAGCAACAGGCTAGGCATGGTGGCTCACACCTATAATCCCAGCACTTTGGGAGGCCAAGGCAAGTGGATCACTTGAGGCCAGGAGTTGGAGATGAGCCTGGCCAACATGGTGAAACCCTGTCTCTACTAAAAATACAAAAGTTAGCCAGGCATGGTGGCACATACCTATAATCCCAGCTACTTGGGAGGCTGAGGCACAAGAATCGCTTGAACTTGGGAGGTGGAGGTTGCAGTGAACCGAGATTGTGCCACTGTACAACAGCAATAAATTTGGCCACATTGATTGATTCTTCTTTTCATGAAAGATTTCTCTGTAGCATGCAATGCTAATACCATTTTACCTACAGTATTGAACTTCTTTCAGTCTTGGAGCCAATTCTCTCAAACCCTCAAACTGCTTTATCAACTAAGTTTATGTGCTTTGCTGTCATTTTTCAACAATGTCACAGCATTTTTACTAGGAGCAGATTCCATCTCAAGAAACCACTTTGTTCATTCATAAGAAGCAGCTCCTCATCCATTCAAGTTTGATCATGAGATTGCAGCAAGGACAGTCACATCTTCAGGCTCTGTTTCTAATTCTAGTTGTCTTGGTATTTTCACCACATCTGTACATCTTTATCCACTGACATTTTCTTGAACTCCACCAGGTCGTCTGTGAGGGTTGGAACCAACTTCTGCAAACTCCTGTTAATGTTGATACTTTAACCTCCACCCAGAAATCACTAATGTTCTTAATGGGATTTAGAATGACAACTCCTTTCCAGAAGGTTTGCAGTTGACTTTGCCTAAATTCACTAGAGTAATCACTACCTATGACAACTATAGCCTTACAAAATGTATTTCTTAAAGAGTAACACTTGAAAGTCAACTGCTCCTTGATCCACGGACTGCAGAATAGATGCTGTGTTAGCAGTCATAGAAACAAAGTTAAGGGCCGGGCGCGGTGGCTCAAGCCTGTAATCCCAGCACTTTGGGAGGCCGAGGCGGGTGGATCACGAGGTCAAGAGATCGAGACCATCCTGGTCAACATGGTGGAACCCCGTCTCTACTAAAAATACAAAAAATTATCTGGGCATGGTGGTGCGTGCCTGTAATCCCAGCTACTCAGGAGGCTGAGGCAGGAGAATTGCCTGAACCCAGGAGGCGAAGGTTGCGGTGAGCCGAGATCGCGCCATTGCACTCTAGCCTGGGTAACAAGAGTGAAACTCCGCCTCAAAAAAAAAATAAAAAATGAAAATAAAATAATAATAAAAAATGAAACAAAGTTAAAAACAAACATCTCCATCAGAGCCCAGAAACTAGTTACAATGTCAATGAGCAATAATATTTTGAAAGAAATTTTGTTTTCTGAGCAGGAGGTCTCAACAGTGGGCTTAAAATATTCAGGGAACCATGCTGGTTTGAACAGATGTGCTGTTATCCAGGCTTTGTTGTTCCACTGATAGAGCACAAAGAAAAGACTTAGCATGATTCTTAAGGGCCCTAAGGGCTCATCTACCATTCTGAAAATCTCCATCTTAGCAGTAAGGCCGTTCTTTCTTATCATTCATGTGTTCATTGGAATAGTCCTTGTAATTTCCTTTATGAACTTCTCCTTTGCAGGCTACCTGTTTTGTGCAAGAGACCTAGCTTTTGGCTTGTCTCGATTTTCAACATGCCTTCCTCACTAAACTTAATTATTTCTAGCTTTTGATTTAAAATGAGAGACGAGTGACTCTTCTTTCACTTGAACACCCAGAGGCCATTGTAGGGTTGTAAACGGGCCTAGTTTCAATATTATTGTGATTGTTGTGTCTCAGGGAATGAGGAGGCCCAAGGACAAGGAGAGAGATGGGAAATGGCTGGTCAGTGGAGTAGTCAGAACACACACACATTTATCAGTTAAGTTTGCTACCTTATGGGCACTGTTTATGGAGCTCCAAAACAAAGACAGTGATGACATTAAAGATCACAGACCACAGACTACCATAACAGATACATTAATAATGAAAAAGTTGGAAATATGAGAATTACCAAATGTGACAGAGACATGAAGTGAATTCATGCTTTTGGAAAAACAGTGCCCTTAGACTTGCCAGACACAGACCTTAAACTTGTAAAAATGCAGTATCTGTGAAGCACAGTAAGGCAGCCTGTGATGGCATGAGGTATGCTCACGTGAACACAGTGCAGCCTTGGCTTCTGTTAGTGGGCTGTATCCACGTTACTTTTAATCTACTGTGTCTTCATATTTAAAATGTGTTTTTTATAAGCAGGATATAGTTGAGTCTTAAATTTATGTAAAATCTGACAATCTCTGCCCTTTTACTGGGGTGTTTAGGCCATTTACATTTAAATTTATTACTACTTTGATTAGATAAGTCTGTCATCTTGTTAC